ATTTGTTCCCTCTTTTGAGTTACTGCATCCATAGGTGTAGGTCAAGTTCATCAAATTATATCAGATTACTCTTTTTTTCAACATTTTCAGTCATTTGTAAGAACCAATAAAAGGTCTTTTATTTGGGGATTGACTTTTAGCTTGTCAGGTGGTCCTTGAGATTTGCCAACGGAGTCTTAAAGAGTCAGATGGCACTGTAGAAAAGAATACAATACCATGGGAATTAAGTGCTCACTATCTGCTCCTCGGAAACCCTATGTAGGGGCGCTATGGGTCGAAACTGACTTGATGGCTCTTAAACGGCAGCAATTCTTGTCATCACTGAAAATTTTTCACTAGAAATTCTTACTAAATTACTTTGAGAGATGGTCTTTCAAATTTGGGACCAGGATGGGATTTTCTCAAGCCTGGAATGTAGCACATTCCTCTTGTATTTCAGCAGGTCAGTTAATACAGAAACTGGTACAAATAAATGATTGTGTGGAATAAATTCTGGCAAGACCCTGATCAAGGCATTTTAATTCCTCCTCTGGGAATAAAACTTTGAAACCAAGTTGATCTGGGTGTGGAAGAAATGAACATATAAACCATTAGGTGGGGCAGGTACTGACTGAGTAGGAATGTATCTGAAGAGAAGGACAAAGAACCCATAGGGCTGAAAGGGAAGGAAGGTAGTGGAGAGAGAAGCCTTGTCCTCAAATTCATTTCCTGGTCTCCTGTATGATTTTTCTCATTGTAGCATTTCTGACAAAGTATGGTCTGTTCTTCATTACTAGAGGTATTGCTCATTTAGTTTATATTTAAAGGCAATGTACTTGTTTATCTGTGCAGGAGATACTATATTACTTAACTCTTCTAATAATTAAATGGAGTATATAGATCAAAATCAGTATAGTAATGTATGCAATCTGACCAACTGATGTGACCCTGTAAGATAAGCACTCAGTCACAAGGTTGGTTTGGACTGCAAGGTCATTGGTTCCAAACTCACCAGCTGCTCCTTGGAAGCCTATACGACCCTATACAAGGTCATTATGAGTTGGAACTGACTTGGTGACACTTAACAATAACTATCTGACTGATTAAATAAAGCTAATGGTAAATAATAATAACTAACCTTGTTGACCAGTATTTCATTTTTCTTTTGCTTGATCTTAGGGGTTTGACCCACCACATCAAAGTGACACAAGGACTATTTACATAGCCAACAGATTTCCTCAGAATGGCCTCTACACACCTCAGAAGTTTATAGATAACAGGATTATTTCCTCTAAGGTAAGGATTAACATTTTTTTAATGAAAACTAAGTATGTGTCATTTTTATTTTGAAAGTAATGTATTGTGTGTATTCTTATATGCATTGAAAACCTTAAAAATTCAAGAAATGAAAAAAAAATTCAAGAATTGGCAGTTGATAGATTTATCTTAGAGTTGTGAATTGTAAAATAAAAGTAATTGTCAGTTGCTGATATCAAGTACACATACCAAAAAATAATTCTTATTTGCATTTAAACTGAGCGACTAATACGTATATTGTGTGCCAGGTTCTGTTAGGGGCTTTATCTTTGAATCCTTGTAACAACCCTGTGTTGTTGTTATGTGCCGTGGAGTTGGTTCCGACTCATAGCGACCCTGTACAGGGTTTCCAAGGCTGTAAATCTTTATGGGAGCAGAAAG